CCATAAATATAAAAATGATCCTGATTTTAATGAAAATATAATTGCTATGGAATTAATATTTAGAAAATATTGGGAAGAACTGCCTATGTTATTTCTTTTAGCGTGCACAATGGACCCTGATATAATATATCGAGAACTAAATATGTAATTGATCAAATCAATAAAGCCTTAATACTTGATACACGTATCACTTATAAGAATTTAGAGCAAACATTATGTGGAATGTATGATTTATATGTAGAATGAATGAGTGCGAATATTAGTCGGGTACCCTCTGCATCTACTCCTTCGGCTGAAATTGAAGAAGATGATGTCGAAATAATGAATTTATTTCAAGGCATTAATACATTTGGATATGATGTAACTGCAATGTGTTCATCTAGTGCCATGTCGTCTGCACTTGCATCTCATCAGACATCTGTCGCAACTCAAAATGCGATATCTGTCGAATTAATTAACTACTTCAATCATAATATGCCAACAGACAACAATTAAAAAAAGTTCAGAAAAAGTAATTGAATTCTGGCGAAAGTATAAAAGATGTTGGCCAATTGTTTCTGCAATTACGAAAAATCTGCTGACACCTCCAAATAGCACTGTTGCTTCGGAGTCTGTTTTTAGTGTAAACAAAAGGATTTTGACCTATATCAAGAGCTGACTGAAAGAAGATGTTTTGAAAACGTTAATGTGCGTTAAGGATTGGCAGGACGCTCATTTTCGACTACAAGATAAATACGCTGAAATTGCATGTCGTTAGGTAAGTAACAGTTGATTTAATTATATTAATCAAAATTTCTTATTTTTTAATCGTTAAATTTAATTTTCGTTAAAAAAATGTACACGTTACAACAATTTGTTCGTGTACAATTTTTAACTCCGTCTACTTAAAATTGATGTAGCCAATCCCAAGCCCGGATAAAAAATGAGGGTTTACATTTTATCTACTTTAAAAATAAATCGAAAAAAATGTAATTTTTGTAAATGTATTTCTAAAAATAATTCGTTTTCATACATAAATATTTTATACTTTATAAAAAATATTACAATATGATAGAAATAAAAATAAAAAAGTTTATTCATTAAATTATTTTTTAAAAAATGGATTAAATTATTTGTGTTTTTTAACACTTTTTTTTTAAAAGTGTCTTCATTAAATTATTTACATTTTTCTGTATTAAAAAAAAAAATTGACAAACTCGCGAGCCAATACTCAGCTCGCCCCACGAGCTCGGCTCGCCATGAGCACGAGCTCTTGAGATTCGGCTCGACTCATTGACATCCCTATACGGATAATAGAAATGTGCTTGAAGGTGGTTCTTATTTCGTTTATAGAAGACCTTTGATGTTCAAAGTCATGTCTCGATGTTTCGAGTTTGATGATAATGAAATTAGCACTATTCCGGTTTGGATCACTCTACTGGGGCTACCATTGGAATGTTGGAATCCAAAAGCTTTAGGGAAGATTATCTCCAAAATTGGAAAACTAATATCTACCGACAAGCTCACAGCAACAAAGGGTCATATATCTTATGCGAGAGTTCTTGTTGAAGTCAATGCTTCTAAGGAGCTGATCGAGTCAGTTGAGATTACCTACTGGAAAGTCAAGGGACCAAGTCGTGTTGAAATATTATTCAAAATCCATATAGATGCGTGTGTGGAATGTCAAGGAAATGGTAGCCAATACATCGGCCTACGCGACCGCATAAGCCAAGAGGCTATGCGATTGCATGGTCTGAGGCAGAAAAATTTCGGGCATTCGTCTATTAAACCATGCGACCGCATGGTGGCATGGTTGTATATTAGGACCATTAAGAGGCATTTTCGTTTTAGTTTCTGGCGCTTTTTGGAATGTTTTTGCAACCTTTCAACACGGTTTTTGGTACCAATTCGTAGCATTAATAGAGGCCTAGGCCATTAATGATCAATGGATTTAATATCAAAAACATTCTTTCATTCCACAAAGAAAGTAAAATACTTTTCATAATCCATATTCAAAATTCCCTTAGTGTTCTTCAAATTTTAGAGAATCATGCATGTGCTTAAGCATTCGATTTTCTACAATGCTTGATATAATCCTACAAACCATTTGCCGCGATACCCTTTAAGCAGGAAAATCATATTCGAGATGGGGCAAATGTAGTTTGAGGACAGCGATTGTGCGTTCGAGCCTTCATATATATTTTGTTCTTCATCTTCATCTTCTTCATTTTCATATTCTTGATCACATTTTTGGATTGTTTCTTCTCCAACCCTGATGACTTAAATTTTCCAACTCGTTCGTTATGAGTATGAGCCTAAGCAGAGTCGGCCCTGAAATTTTGAATGCCTTGTGCGAGATTTTAAAATGGCGCCCTTTCAAGTAACTAAAACATATATTAAAAAAAGAATTTCAATAATATTATTTCATTGTAAAAATACGATATTTAAATATTTATTTATCTTTTGTTTACATACATAAACAAGAAAAACATAAATAAAGCTCAAAAGCATTTTTCGAACTTCATAAAAATTCATATATTATCAACAAAGAATCATCAAAGCTACTAGCCTCTTCATGCAATTCCATATAAGCAAACCTTATATATATATGCTTGAAATGCAACAAATCTTGTAAAAAAAAAAAAGATTCTCGCATTTTTAGAAGCAAACTCACTAATTTAACTTTCGTAATCAATATTTTTCTAAAAAGTCTTGCTCAATAGATATCAAAACTAATCCATTCAATCGTTCTTATAACATAGTTAATCGCAAATAAAATTTTAATAACTTCAATTTTGAAAACTTTCTTTCAGCAGATGCAACAGTAACATGAATTGTTAATAATATTCTATAAGCAATACAAGTATTTGAAAAACAATCCAATCTTTTCAAATAAGTCAATATATCAAAAAGCCGTCTTTATTTCTTTTGGTAAAAGATTTCGCAAAACTTTTAACTTTAGAAATAAATCTTTGTCATCAAGATCGCAAAAACTTACATGTCTTAAAACAATATCAAGATGATCACAACATGCTTTCAAATTAGTATTATCCAATGAGTTTAACTTGTCGGAAGAAAACAGAAGTCCAAATTTTTTTCATATGAATTGAATTGATCAAACCTTCGTTCAAGTGATCCAATTGCTTGATCTACTATATAAAAAAAATAATTGGTTCTGAAAGAATCTTTAGGTGATTGTGCATCATCTATAGTAATATTTTCATCAAAATGATTCTTCCCACGACTTATACATTTAACTTGCAAAGCGAATTCAAATCAGTGAAATTACGGAACGAGATTGACAAAAAGATGATAAAGAAAAGATAACAGGTAATTCAGATTTTCTTCTCTGAGTTCTCTCGCCGGCCTGATCTCTTTTCGACAAATTTTCTTTTCCCTCACATTATTTAAGGTAGGAACACTATTTAAAAATATTATATTCAAGGAAATTATAATTAGTTAGTCACATTATTCTTAATTTTAATATTTTATGCATAAAAATAAAAAGTTTATATTTTAAAATTAATATATATTTAAATATTTAATTATAAATAAATATACGACTATAACAAAAAAAAAAAATTTGGTACCCTTACAATTTTGAGGCCCTGTGCGAACACTCAACTCACGCACCCTTAGGGCCGAGCCTAAGTTTTGCTCAACGTGCAAGATATATGGCCGTGCTACACTTGGATGCAATTTGAAAAAATGGGCTGCAGGTTGTAAGGTAAACTCCAGCATGGTTGATGTTCCAGGAGAACCTGCTTTTGCTAAACAAGGTCAGATTTGGGGTACACAGGTGGAACAGCCAACTGATTCAAGTGTATTGGCTTGGATAAAGGGCGTGTGGAGAGAATGCAGCAAGGAGACGAGCAAGTTACTCCGTGCACTGAAGCTTCTAAAATTCAGAAATGCAATAGGAAAAGGAAGGGACAGAATGCAGGTAATTACCCCCAGCAGAATGTGGATTTCGGTGATCTTCATCAAACTGGGGGTGATGAAGGCCCAAGTTGTAATGAAAAACTAATAGGGAAGCTTGATGAGCAACAAATTATAGCAACTAAGAAGGGCAAAAAGAAGGTAATTCCTGTCTTATATCATCGTGAAGCCTTATGTTTTGATTCGTCTTGTATCTCATTTTGTGTCTCTTGTTTTGGGTCTTTAGATCTTTTGTAATATTTGTTTGGTAAACTCGGACATGTTCGGAGTAGTGGAACTCAATTTTTGATCTATACACATTTATTTGCCGTATCAAAAAAATATTGTTAAATATGACAATTAATTTCATGCCTTTTTATTAAAAGCCTGCTAAACAATCTAAACAAAGGCGTCGAAGAAGACTATTGTTCAATAAATTAGGAACTTTATCAACTTTGCCTAATTTGACAAAAATATCTAGATACTTTGGAATCTGTGTAAAAAGAAAGATAAAGAATATCTAAATGGATTCGAATAACAATTAACTTTGACAATTTTGACGACAATGTCTAGTTTTAGTTGGTTTTCTTGTTCAGGAACTGTCGCAATTTCAACATCATCCACTGTATACAATCATGTCATAATAATGCAGAATCCTATGAACCAGAAGAAAAATGGCGTGCCGAATCCTCAGTGTATGTAGAAAAGCCGTCAATGACCAAGGCTCAAGCACTCAGATGGTTATCATTTCTGTTTCCCCTAAACTACAAGCAGCATATACTCAGATCAATTGCATGTTGCTCAGCATTGCTACCTATTTTATTTCCATGGCGGTTGTAATCTTGAACTCTGGCCTCTCAATATTCCAGATTCAATGGAAATTCAATTGACTTTCAAGATCAAGATGACAAGATAGGTTCTTGCAGTAACCTACAGTTGGAGGTCCACCGTATCATTGCCGACTCTTCATTTGCTCAACTTATGGCTAACTCGTCCAGTTTCAGATGGACTTCTCACTCCAGTTCCTTTGGGGGCATATGTGAGCCGTTGCTAATTGTGTCAAAACATCCCAAAGTGCTGGTTAGACTAAAAAAGTGCATCCATCATCCGGATTCTTGTAATGCCTCGCCAGCTTCAGAATACAATTTTACCTTCTTCATGTTATTCTTAAGTCTATCGAGAGTATCATAAATCTCAACCGCACTTGGACAGGATGAATCCTCCGAGTAGAAAACATCAACTTTATTTTTCAGCTCGATCCAACTGCATCCAGGGACCTTTGTCAGTCCCTTTTGCCTCATCAATGCCCTTAAGTTAGCGGCTTTCTCCAGTAATCCAACTTCTACATATAGGTTTAACAGTTGAACGTAATTGCTGCCTCTGGTTGGTTCTAACTTTAGCAAGTTATCAGCAGCCAACTCTCCAAGCTCAACATTGTGATGAATTCGACAGGCAGACAATAAAGATAGCCAAATGCCACGGTCTGGTGCAATGAACATATTCTGTATGAAACTGAGAGCATCCTCTAAGCGTCCAGCACGGCCCAGCAAGTCCACTATATTTATGTGGTGCTCCATTTTGGGTTCAAGTCTGTGTTCTCTCATTAAATGAAATAGATGCAGACCTACATCAGTGAAACCAGCATGATTGCAAGAGGAAATCAAGGAAAGGAATGTTACTTCATCAGGTACTGTTCCTGAATTTCTCATCTCGTTGAACAATTTGATGGCTTTATGGATTTCACCATGTGATCCATAACCAGCAATCATTGAATTCCAAGTTATGACGTTTCTTTTCGACATAATTTGAAACAAATGTTGTGCATGTTTTAAGCATCCACACTTGAGGTACATGTTTAGTAATGCATTTTCTACTTGAATATCTTCAGGAATTTGGAGTCTTATATAGTAACTGTGTACCGCCTTTCCCTTGAGCAATGCTGCCACCGATGAAACTGCAGAAAGGACACTGGTGATTGAAACAGAGTCTGGGTACAAGCCATTCTGCAGAATCTGAGGAAAAAGACTAATGGAGACATCTGGGATGCCATTCTGGCAATAGCATGAAATTAACGAATTCCAGACCACCAAATTCTTATTTGAGACATCAGAAAAAACATTTCCAGCCTTTTCTGGTTGTCCACATTTAGAATATAACTCTATCAGAGAACTACCCGTAAAAACATCTGATTCCAGTCCTTTCTTAATTGTGAATCCATGAATACAGCAACCTAGTTTGGTATCATTAAGTTCTACACAAGCATTGATTGCACTTGCTATAACATTAGGATCTAGTTCCACACCATCAGACTTCATTGCTTTAAATAAATCTAGTGCTTCCTTGAATTTTCTATTCTCACAATTACCCGATATCATAGAGCCCCATGTTACAATATCCTTTTCCTTCATTTTAACAAAAAGTTCAAATGCATCCTCCAATCTCCCAAACCTTGAGTACATCGTCAACAGGGCACTTTGCACTGAAACATTATCCTTTATTGGTCTCTTCCACAATTCCCCATGAATCATCCTACCAAACTCAATTGATCCAATCATACTGCAAGCTATCAATACATTGGATATGGTGAAAGAATCAGGTGTGATTGCTCTAAATCGCATCCGATAATAGACTTCCACTGCACTATGAGGGCATTCACAATTAACATACGCCGAGATCATACTATTCCACATTCCAACCTCTTTACCTGCTATTGAATGAAAAAGTTTCTCTGCATCTTCCACAAATCCACATTTTGAATACAACGTTAAAAGAGAAGTACTGACATAAGGATCACTCTCAAAACCTGCCTTAATCACATCACAATGGAGCTGTCTACCGCAATCTATATCCTCACCCTGTGAACAGGCTGTTAGAACAGTCGAAAATGATGTGGATCCCAATTCAAGACCCTTAAATTTTACCATAGAGTACAACTCGAAGGCATCTCTCCAGAATCCCTTTTTGCCGAAGCCATTGATCATTGCATTCCACACTGCAATGTTACAGTTATTTTCCACCTTTTCAAAAACATTCCAAGCATCCACTGGCCTATTAAAGTTTGAATACATATCAATCAGCGCAGTGATTACAAAAGGGTCATCATCAAAAATGTTTCTTACGACATAACCATGAATTTTCCTCCCATATGAAAAATTCGAAATGCCATTACACACTCCAAGAAGAATACACAAAGTGTACCCATCAGGCTTGACATTCGACACCTGCATTCGACGGAACTGAACCACACCCTCCTCAAAATATCCATTTTTCAAGAAGCCATCGATCATAGAATTCCAAAGCGTAACATCTTGTACCAAAACTTCACAATGAGACACATTTTCAAACAGTTTGACTGCAATGCAAAGTGACCCACATTTCACGTACATATTGATGAGTGAAGCAGTAATGTAAGGGTCAAAAATAAGGCCCGTCTTGATGATTTCTGAGTGAAGTGTTTTGCCATACCGGAGATTCTCCAGAGAAGCACAGGCTTTGAGGAGAGAAGGGAAGGTGAATTTTGAAAAATTGGATGCTTTGGTGGATGCTTTGAGGGCTTCTTGATAGTGTCCCTGTTGAACCAAGGCTTTGATTTTGATGTCGAGGGATGAAGATAAATGGGTTTGGATGAGAGTAGAAAATTGACGAGAAATCAATAAATTGAAACGCATTTCATTGTTAAAGAATTTTAATTTGGTTTTAAATGTTTGTAGTTGGCCAAAAGAGCACTCCACTTGGAAAAAGTAGGATACATTCACGGCTGACTTTTAACTTCAAGAATGATACAATAAAAGGACATTTAGGACTTTCTAATGAAACTTTTGAAAAGTCAATAATTGAAAAAAAAAAAAATAATAATAATAATAAGAAAATTTATTTTTGTACGTTCGACTATGGTTGGGTTCCTCCTAATGAAAAAAATGTGGCCCGTGACACTCAATTTTAGGTGGAGGTAATCAAGGCATTACATACACATGGAGATGCTCAAATATTACACATGTTTTAGGAACCGAAATAATGTGGTGGCATTCTTGGCTAATGAAGGATCCTATTCTCACGATAGAGAAACAAAAAATGTCGAATTTTAGAAGGTAAAATCTACTGTCCAATTTTTATTGTCCACTTTACTGTCCATTTAATTAATTATTAACACGTTATCTTAAATTAACATGTCCTAAGCTATTTCATTCCTATTATGGGATACAATATTTCAAGAGCCACACCCAATCGAAGCTAGTAGTAAGTTAATGGCTACCACATAGGGAGCAACATCCTTGAATCCATTCGTTTGGGTGATCATCATTGTGGCTTAGAAAGAGTCAAAAGTAGCAGTAAGAGTGAATAAACATATTGGAACAATGTGATCGACAAGTCCCAATTTAGTGCCAAAAGTTGTTTCTATTTTTTGGTTAAGACGGTGGAATTTATAATGAACATAGTATCTCCATATTTAAGTTTTGTAAACCCTCTTTTATCTCTTCTAAATGTACCTTCCGAAGTAAGGTCCCATATCTCTAAAGGAGGAGCATACTAAACAAGATGAACCCAACGAACTAGATAGACGGTATATTCTCGAGCTTGATTCTAGTCCTAGATGATATAGAGTGCATATAGATGACATTAGCAGCATGAGTTATAATTTTTAAACAAAATAATGATAATAGTATAATGATAATCTTAATCGTTATTGATAGTACAAACGCCACCTCAAACGTTAATTTCCACAATCCGTTCAACCACTGCCACGTTTAATGAATCAAAGGACCCATTCCTATTTTGGTTCCAATTGCCAGGCTAGCTTACAGTATTATTACAAGAAACAAATAAATAAATAAATAAATAATAATAATAATAATAATAATAATAATAATAAGCGCCAACACGCAATTCACACGATTTGCCAACTTGGATAAATTCAACAAGGTAAGTTTTGTTTTCGGACAAGTCAGATTCATTTATTCAACTTCCCAACATAGCCAATAATCTTCGGAAACCTTAAATATTTTCTAGTTTTGATACCATATTAAACAAACGAATTCATTTTTTCTTTTTGCTTTTTTATTTTGGGGTCTAATTTTTTATTCACTGTCATGTTCTAATCAGGTTTTATAGATATGGTGAAGCACGATCACGACCACGACCACCACCATGTAGATGGTGGCCCACATAATGATCCACTCTTGGCATGCTGCTACTGCCCTTGTATGTCAGTCTCGTCCGCCTTCCGATTGATGGGGAGATGCTTGTTTGTTGCTTGTTATCCTGTGTTGCAATGCTTTAGATGGGATGATCATAGACATCATCACCACCACCACAAGCATTTTTACTGATTTTATTTCTTGTTTATATCTACCTTTATTCAATTGGAATTTCTCAGCTTAGTTCGAAGTTTTAGGAAGAAACCAAGAAATTCGATCTTAGTGGAAGAAAATGAAAGGAATCCTTTTCATTATTCGTTTTATTTACTTTGTACAATCATTTGGTCCCACGAAGTATACTTTTATTCTCCGGCATCTTCTTCATATTATGCTAGCATCATTATCGACAAGACTAGATAGAGCAACTCCAACGAATGAGATACAAACAATTTGCGAATACATATTTTCCTAAGCTTTTCAAGTTATATTTTGATCTTCACTTTGTACCTTTTTTTGACCTCTCAAGCAAGTGGTAGTAATATATAATTGACAAGACAAAAGTCTTAAATTCACGATTCACCATTGAGAATAAAATTGTGCTCGAATGATGAGACGAAAGTTCACTTCTGTGCTCGAAAGGCATTGGTCACTTATCTTAATAGCTTGTAAATAGAATTAAGCGACTAAAAGGCTTAAAGTGTAACAAGACAGTGAAATAAAAGACTCAAGTGTTACGAACATCTTCATTTTTTTAATATAATTTTGATTATTCTATAATTATTAATAACAATTCCTTTTATTTAATTAGTTTATTTAACTTTAAAAAATAAGAAAATGAAAATATATATATTTTAAAAAATAAACCCCACATATTTGATATCGATTAAATCTAGATTTTAATCTAAATCAAAATTAATAATTCATTTCAATCACATACTTTATGAGTCCCACGACTTCTCAATTACACTTCATCAACTTCTATCAAAATTTACTAAAAAGTTGATTTCAATATCTATCAATTAGGGGAATAATGCCTAGGCTCACATTTGTCGTGCCTTTTGCCTCCTAGGCTTTTCTTCATACCTCACGCCTAGGCCAGCCTAGGCCCCATCTTTTAAGCCCTTTCAGGACAACGAATAAAATAGTTTGATAACGCTTATGGCTGACGTTAAAGGAAAAAGAGTTAAGGTTTGACTTTGTCCTGTTAATGCAGATCTCCCAAATAAAAATCTAATCTTTTTTCATATTTTTTAGTTTTGGAAAAAAATCACAACACTCCAAGAAAATGAAAACATTTAAGCAGACACAATCCCTCCCACCTAGTTTTTACCTTTCTCACTTTCGTTGTTTCTCAATATACTTGTGTTAAAAGATTTTAGTAGTGACAACTAAAAAATTGTAGCAAGGTTTATTGGGAATTTGACACCTCGAAATTGTAGTGATGTGTCGAGATTTGATTGGAATGGAGAAAATGGGACAGCCAATTTAGAATTCAGGACTCAATCCTACCACGACTCTACTAGGCACCCAGTTATTCTCGCCAATGTCTAGTTGCCTAATTCACAGCAATTTTGTGCAGTGAATAGCGGCGGTGTCAAACTAAGCCCGTTGTAACCCAACTAGGAAAAAAGCAGCATAGGATCGGCATTGTCCAACGCAAGTTGGTCCACCTTTAACGGTGGTCCGTCAGGTTTGGCATTGAAGCCCTGCAAGCCCATGCCCATGGTTACTTCATATAATTATATCCCATTCTTTTAAAGATCAATCAATATGCACCATCATTTTTAAGAACAGAATTATATTTGAAGTTTCATAACATTCCATTATGTCAGGAGGAAAAGAGACGGCAAAATACTGCCACATAAACTATCTCCAAACACAATGTTAAGAATAGATAATCTCATTATTCCCGCAGCAAACTGTACAACATGCCCTTATGATTACAGTTTACAATTCATCAAAACATTGATTAAACAATTCATACTAACCTGGCATTGAGATGAAGCAGAAAATAAACGAGGACCTAAAGGCTAGAGCATTCATTTCCTCGTGAGCATAGAGCAGACAGGAGCAACTCCATTGTATGCGTATAAATTTCAAGCAGGGACATAAGATTCGAGCAGAAATTGCGCTGGGGATGGGGATTTGATCTCAACAATCAGATAGATAAACTTCCACTGTTTATCGACCTTATCCTTGAACATTTCAGCACCAACTTTGCCAGCTCCATGTGGCCCACGAATGTAGAAATTTACCTAAAAATCTAATTCATTTAAGTGTCTTTGTACATAATACTTGGAAACTAAAATTTTACACGCCAGTTACTACTGGGGTGGGGGTGGGGCTTTGTAGAAATATTCGTTACTTCAGCAAGCATTGGAAATCGTGTGAAACCAGATGGTTATGAGATTAACGATAAAATGAGCATAATTCCGCGGTATTAATCCTAAGTTACCTCAACATGCTCATTGCCATCCTCATCAGTCCATGTTCGATTAGGAATTCGCTGACGAGCAGCACGATTCCTGCTTTCTTGGCCATAGCCAGTAATAGGGGACCCAATTCTCACCCTAACCTGGTGCAATGAAAGTTTTTAAACTATCACAATCAAGAAATGCAATCACAATACCCACAAACATCAAAACTATCTTCAATTTTTAGATATTCTTCATCTAATGGCAAAAGAGACTGCATTTTATGCCAGCAGAAATGAAATTTACAAAAAATGTCATGGGAAGCACACAGGTCCTGTGACATTAAAACCTGAAATTCTACCGTCTTCATGGTAAACATGGGCTGGATGCCGAAGAATCAACAGTTAGCTAACATTCATCAGCATGATTTACTGTATTAACTTCATCTCAATGACTAGCATTTAGCATATATGCCCAAAAACACATTCACATTGTTTAGTACATATATCCCTCTCATAGGTGTCATAATTGATCTATTGATATTGTAATGGAGGTGAAAACTTGAATAGATACAAGTGGTCAGACAGCAAAAAATATTTTACCCCTGTTTGGTGGAGATTAAGCCCCTGTTTGTTACTCATTTTTTCCCCATTAAAATGAAAAATACGATTGTTATCCATCACAACAAGCCACCAAATTTGAATTTCTATCTCTTGTGTAGGACCCATAACAGCTATATTTTTCATTTATATTTTTACAAAAATGAAAAATAAGATTTGAAACTTCTTTTTGGGAGGTTTGTTTTCCAAAGAGCCGTTTTCTTTCATTTCGGAATGTGGGACACTTGTGTCTTTCTTGGATATGCTCAGTCCGGGTGACAGAAGTTTTCAAGCAGGGATCCACAAACTTTTGCGGTTCCTTCTGCTCCTAGAAAACGCCCGAACCCCCCAAGGTGGACCCCCACGGAGCAGCTCAGCTTGATTAGAAGGAGATGAAGGGCGAAAGGTGTCAACTGGAGAAGCTCCTCGAATCGGACTTAGCCATCTCAAGATCAACGGGATTAGAAAAGCTCATCGGAGAAGGTAATCCTGGACAAGACCAGAACAAACATCCTCGCTAATCAAGCAATTGCGTCAGATCAGCAAACGCCCCCCAAATTTAGATTTTTAGCAGATTTTGATAAAAGTTAATGAAATGCGTGGTTAAAAAGTTGTGACCCCATGAAATACGTGGTTGAAAATTAATTGTTGACTTTGATTTTAATAAAAATTTAGATTATAATTTCTATCAAACAAACAGGGGTTTTATATGAAAGAGTATCACCATAAAACAAAAATTTGGGCCATGAAGCGTTTAGCAGCAAGACGCATGGATTTCACATGCTTGTATACATATAGACCTCTATAATAGTACTCAATAACTAACTTTATATTTGGCTCAAACGGTTTTCTTTTCTTTTCTATTATTCTCCATGGAACATAGCCAAGAAAGATTGTTGTGCTTGATGCCACCATAGTTCCATGACTTTAAGTTTGAAATATTTGATCACAAACTTTAAAGTCAATTAAATCATCCCATCAAATGATTAGATATTTGACTTATCATACATTTTGTTTCATGCATTATAACGAAACATACAAATCAAATTAGCATCGTTCCAAGTCAAATCCGATACCCTACAGACACAAGTGCTTCATGCATAGGTACACTTTGTTTTACTTAAATTAACAACCACAACATTTTCAAGCAAAACCATTTTAGAGTTCGATTTATAAATACCCCTTTGAGCCTAAGTTTTGCTCAACGTGCAAGATATATGGCCGTGCTACACTTGGATGCAATTTGAAAAAATGGGCTGCAGGTTGTAAGGTAAACTCCAGCATGGTTGATGTTCCAGGAGAACCTGCTTTTGCTAAACAAGGTCAGATTTGGGGTACACAGGTGGAACAGCCAACTGATTCAAGTGATATTGGCTTGGATAAAGGGCGTATGGAGAGAATGCAGCAAGGAGACGAGCAAGTTACTCCGTGCACTGAAGCTTCTAAAATTCAGAAATGCAATAGGAAAAGGAAGGGACAGAATGCAGGTAATTACCCCCAGCAGAATGTGGATTTCGGTGATCTTCATCAAACTGGGGGTGATGAAGGCCCAAGTTGTAATGAAAAACTAATAGGGAAGCTTGATGAGCAACAGATTATAGCAACTAAGAAGGGCAAAAAGAAGGTAATTCCTGTCTTATATCATCGTGAAGCCTTATGTTTTGATTCGTCTTGTATCTCATTTTGAGTCTCTTGTTTTGGGTCTTTAGATTTTTTGTAATATTTGTTTGGTAAACTCGGGCATGTTCGGAGTAGTTGAACTCAATTTTTGATCTATACACATTTATTTGCCGTATCAAAAAAATATTGTTAAATATGACAATTAATTTCATGCCTTTTTATTAAAAGCCTGCTAAACAATCTAAACAAAGGCGTCGAAGAAGACTATTGTTCAATAAATTAGGAACTTTATCAACTTTGCCTAATTTGACAAAAATATCTAGATACTTCGGAATCTGTGTAAAAAGAAAGATAAAGAATATCTAAATGGATTCGAATAACAATTAACTTTGACAATTTTGACGACAATGTCTAGTTTTAGTTGGTTTTCTTGTTCAGGAACTGTCGCAATTTCAACATCATCCACTGTATACAATCATGTCATAATAATGCAGAATCCTATGAACCAGAAGAAAAATGGCGTGCCGAATCCTAGTGTATGTAGAAAAGCCGTCAATGACCAAGGCTCAAGCACTCAGATGGTTATCATTTCTGTTTCCCCTAAACTACAAGCAGCATATACTCAGATCAATTGCATGTTGCTCAGCATTGCTACCTATTTTATTTCCATGGCGGTTGTAATCTTGAACTCTTGCCTCTCAATATTCCAGATTCAATGGAAATTCAATTGACTTTCAAGATCAAGATGACAAGATAGGTTCTTGCAGTAACCTACAGTTGGAGGTCCACCGTATCATTGCCGACTCTTCATTTGCTCAACTTATGGCTAACTCGTCCAGTTTCAGATGGACTTCTCACTCCAGTTCCTTTGGGGGCATATGTGAGCCGTTGCTAATTGTGTCAAAACATCCCAAAGTGCTGGTTAGACTAAAAAAGTGCATCCATCATCCGGATTCTTGTAATGCCTCGCCAGCTTCAGAATACAATTTTACCTTCTTCATGTTATTCTTAAGTCTATCGAGAGTATCATAAATCTCAACCGCACTTGGACAGGATGAATCCTCCGAGTAGAAAACATCAACTTTATTTTTCAGCTCGATCCAACTGCATCCAGGGACCTTTGTCAGTCCCTTTTGCCTCATCAATGCCCTTAAGTTAGCGGCTTTCTCCAGTAATCCAACTTCTACATATAGGTTTAACAGTTGAACGTAATTGCTGCCTCTGGTTGGTTCTAACTTTAGCAAGTTATCAGCAGCCAACTCTCCAAGCTCAACATTGTGATGAATTCGACAGGCAGACAATAAAGATAGCCATATGCCACGGTCTGGTGCAATGAACATATTCTGTATGAAACTAAGAGCATCCTCTAAGCGTCCAGCACGGCCCAGCAAGTCCACTATATTTATGTGGTGCTCCATTTTGGGTTCAAGTCTGTGTTCTCTCATTAAATGAAATAGATGGAGACCTACATCAGTGAAACCAGCATGATTGCAAGAGGAAATCAAGGAAAGGAATGTTACTTCATCAGGTACTGTTCCTGAATTTCTCATCTCGTCGAACAATTTGATGGCTTTATGGATTTCACCATGTGATCCATAACCAGCAATCATTGAATTCCAAGTTATGACGTTTCTTTTCGACATAATTTGAAACAAATGTTGTGCATGTTTTAAGAATCCACACTTGAGGTACATGTTTAGTAATGCATTTTCTACTTGAATATCTTCAGGAATTTGGAGTCTTATATAGTAACTGTGTACCGCCTTTCCCTTGAGCAATGCTGCCACCGATGAAACTGCAGAAAGGACACTGGTGATTGAAACAGAGTCTGGGTACAAGCCATTCTGCAGAATCTGAGGAAAAAGACTAATGGAGACATCTGGGATGCCATTCTGGCAATAGCATGAAATTAACGAATTCCAGACCACCAAATTCTTATTTGAGACATCAGAAAAAACATTTCCAGCCTTTTCTGGTTGTCCACATTTAGAATATAACTCTATCAGAGAACTACCCGTAAAAACATCTGATTCCAGTCCTTTCTTAATTGTGAATCCATGAATACAGCAACCTAGTTTGGTATCATTAAGTTCTACACAAGCATTGATTGCACTTGCTATAACATTAGGATCTAGTTCCACACCATCAGACTTCATTGCTTTAAATAAATCTAGTGCTTCCTTGAATTTTCTATTCTCACAATTACCCGATATCATAGAGCCCCATGTTACAATATCCTTTTCCTTCATTTTAACAAAAAGTTCAAATGCATCCTCCAATCTCCCAAACCTTGAGTACATCGTCAACAGGGCACTTTGCACTGAAACATTATCCTTTATTGGTCTCTTCCACAATTCCCCGTGAATCATCCTACCAAACTCAATTGATCCAATCATACTGCAAGCTATCAATACATTGGATATGGTGAAAGAATCAGGTGTGATTGCTCTAAATCGCATCTGATAATAGACTTCCACTGCACTATGAGGGCATTCACAATTAACATACGCCGAGATCATACTATTCCACATTCCAACCTCTTTACCTGCTATTGAATGAAAAAGTTTCTCTGCATCTTCCACAAATCCACATTTTGAATACAACGTTAAAAGAGAAGTACTGACATAAGGATCACTCTCAAAACCTGCCTTAATCACATCACAATGGAGCTGTCTACCGCAATCTATATCCTCACCCTGTGAACAGGCTGTTAGAACAGTCGAAAATGATGTGGATCCCAATTCAAGACCCTTAAATTTTACCATAGAGTACAACTCGAAGGCATCTCTCCAGAATCCCTTTTTGCCGAAGCCATTGATCATTGCATTCCACACTGCAATGTTACAGTTATTTTCCACCTTTTCAAAAACATTCCAAGCATCCACTGGCCTATTAAAGTTTGAATACATATCAATCAGCGCAGTGATTACAAAAGGGTCATCATCAAAAATGTTTCTTACGACATAACCATGAATTTTCCTCCCATATGAAAAATTCGAAATGCCATTACACACTCCAAGAAGAATACACAAAGTGTACCCATCAGGCTTGACATTCGACACCTGCATTCGACGGAACTGAACCACACCCTCCTCAAAATATCCATTTTTCAAGAAGCCATCGATCATAGAATTCCAAAGCGTGACATCTTGAACCAAAACTTCACAATGAGACACATTTTCAAACAGTTTGACTGCAATGCAAAGTGACCCACATTTCACATACATATTGATGAGTGAAGCAGTAATGTAAGGGTCAAAAATAAGGCCCGTCTTGATGATTTCCGAGTGAAGTGTTTTGCCATACCGGAGATTCTCCAGAGAAGCACAGGCTTTGAGGAGAGAAGGGAAGGTGAATTTTGAAAAATTGGATGCTTTGGTGGATGCTTTGAGGGCTTCTTGATAGTGTCCCTGTTGAACCAAGGCTTTGATTTTGATGTCGAGGGATGAAGATATATGGGTTTGGATGAGAGTAGAAAATTGACGAGAAATCAATAAATTGAAACGCATTTCATTGTTAAAGAATTTTAATTTGGTTTTAAATGTTTGTAGTTGGCCAAAAGAGCACTCCACTTGGAAAAAGTAAGATAAATTCACGGCTGACTTTTAATTTTAAGAATGATACAATAAAAGGACATTTAGGACTTTCTAATGAAACTTTTGAAAAGTCAATAATTGAAAAAAAAAATAATAATTAAGAAAATTTATTTTCGTACGTTCGACTATGGTTGGGTTCCTTCTAATGAAAAAAATGTGGCCCGTGACACTCAATTTTAGGTGGAGGCAATCAAGGCATTACATACACATGGAGATGTTCAAATATTACACATGTTTTAGGAACCGAAATAATGTGTTGGCATTCTTGGCTAATGAAGGATCCTATTCTCACGATAGAGAAACAAAAAATGTCGAATTTTAGAAGGTAAAACCTACTGTCCAATTTTTACCGTCCACTTTACTGTCCATTTAATTAATTATTAACACGTTATCTTAAATTAACATGTCCTAAGCTATTTCATTCTTATTATGGGATACAATATTTCAAGAGCCACACCCAATCGAAGCTAGTAGTAAGTTAATGGCTACCTCAAAGGGAGCAACATCCTTGAATCCATTCGTTTGGGTGACCGTCATTGTGGCTTAGAAAGAATCAAAAGTAGCAGTAAGAGTGAATAAACATATTGGAACGATCGACGTGTCCCAATTTATTGCCAAAAGTTGTTTCTATTTTTTGGTTAAGACGGTGGAATTTATAATGAACATAGTATCTCCATATTTAAGTTTTGTAAACCCTCTTTTATCTCTTCTAAATGTACCTTCCGTAGTAGGGTCTCATATCTTTAAAGTAGGAGCATACTAAACAAGATGAACGCAATGAACTAGATACACGGTATATTTTCGAGCTTGATTCTAGTACTAGATGATGTAGAGTGAATATAAATGATATTATCAGCATGATTTATAATTTTTAAACAAAATAATTATAATAGTATCATGATAATCTTAAACGTTATTGATAGTACAAACGCCATCTCAAACGTTAATTTCCACAATCCGTTCAACCACTGCCACGTTTAATGAATCAAAGAACCCATTCCTATTTTGGTTCCAATTGCCAGGCTAGCTTACAGTATTATTACAAGAAACAAATAAATAAATAAATAAATAATAATAATAATAATAATAATAATAATAATAAGCGCCAACACGCAATTCACACGATTTGCCAACTTGGATACAAATACAACTCTTCCCTCTCCCAACTTCTAAACAAATACTCTCTCCCCCCCC